CATTTCCAGGAAACTGCAAGTTGTAATTCTCTTTGAAAACAAACAATAGGAAATTGCGGGTGTCTTCAATTTTAATTTACGTAGGATTCTCAATTTTAGTATTTCTACAGGCATTTTTGAGTCTCTTTATTAGGATAATGAAAGAAAATGCAAACTTTGGAAGTGCCAAAAAATAAGTTCACATCAGAATTTTACCATGATCATGATACAAAATTTGTGTCGACTACCAGGTAAACAATAGGTCAAGACTTGTATTGCATATACTGTGATAGCAGAAAGTATTTACTTACTTGTCCCAGTATCTGTAGAGTGTCCTGTCAGTTAAGAAGGTAGTGTGCTAGAGCAAGTACACCAGTAATTTTTACTTTTTTTCTCCATCTGGGTTTCTTAGAGTTCATTCAAACTTGTCTTTCCGCCTGGAGATTGAGTATACATGTGGGTGAGATGAATGGTGACCAGAATCAATTGAACCTCTCACTGACTTTGTCCTGTTTTTCTTCAAACGCAAATACTGGCAACAAATTACTTACTTTTGAGAGACCTAACAGCTTTCGAAATTCAGAATATTGAGCACTATGAAATTCAAATGCCAAGCATGGAAACTCTTCTATTTCTGAAATCTTTGCTGTTATCCTTCTCAAACCTACCTACAGTGCAATGAGATTAGCTTTTCCTCATTACCTTAACTTTCACAGAAAGGCAGGGGATGCAGTCAGTGGTGTACCAGCTGACTTCAAACAGAAAACTGCACGAGCCATTCATAAATACATGCTCATCTGTGTTCCTCAGTGCAATACCCACTGAACCATTAGGCAGGCTCTATTTGGAGCATTTTTAAATATAGAGAATAGTGTGGTTTGTTCCAAAAACATAATACTGATGAGCCAGAAAATGATTTCTTATATTTATGGAAAGGATCTATTTCTACACATCATTTAAATTGTTGTGATTTTTGTCTGGGTAGTGTTTTTAAATGTATTAATAGCGATTTAATGCACCCCTCTATAAGGAAGTCTTTGTAAATATATCCGCACTAAAGCAATAGGGTAGAATGCATGTTGGAAGTATTACGTGTGTAATCATTTGCATTCTTAATGTTCCAGAACCCTGGGGTTATTAGTAAAACGATTGGAGAAAGGTGGTAAAGCTGAACAAGAAAACCTTTTTCACGAGAATGATTGCATTGTCAGGATTAATGATGGCGACCTTCGAAACAGAAGATTCGAACAGTAAGTGTGTGCTTCCCGCGCTTCCGTCCTCTCGTGCTTCAGACGTGACAGAGTGTAGTCAATTGAAATGATCTCGCTGTTTATACTGGAGAGGGGTATTTTCTGCCATTATCCAGCTTTTAAAAATTTAATCAAACTCAGAGTAATTACTGCCATTAGACTATATTTCCACATGCCCTCTCTCTGACTGATTGGGCTCTTTTTAAAATATCATGGGCCCGATTTTGGCTTTACAAATTTGCTGGTTCCTCACCTTTTGGAAAATTGACAGGTGGTCTCGTTTTATCATACTTTACCCCTCTTTTCCAACCTTGTTGCGCATAGTGTCTCTAAGTACTCATAAATGGAAAAAGCTCCTTTGAGTCACAATAACATTTCATATGCAGATTTCTTTTATCCTGATTTAAGCCCTTATGCAATGAAAAAAAAAAATTAAAGTTGGCCAGTTCCTATTAAACAAGACAGGAGTGAGCAGAACTCTTGAGAACTTGGGGCGAGACTTCTGGGAAAGCAGCATGAGGTGGCGCTGCCTCTCAGCCTTGTCACTCTGTAGCACTGGGACCCACAGGGTTTAAATTACTGAGGCTGCATTGCTGTTCTTGCAATTTTTGCATACACTGCCTTAAATCATAAGTCATGAATAGTTATTTGCTTTCTATAGTTATAAAGGTATTTCTTTGAAAACTCAAAGGGTCCCTTTGTAAGGAAATATCGTTCACAAGTTGTATTCGATAATGTTATAGAAAGAAAGTTACATTTGATTTCTATTACTTTTGAAATTATAATACCTCTGTTGTACCTAAAATAGTTGTTTAATGATTTACAATTGAGAGTACAGTATTTTATCTGTCCTAGATAATTTTACTATTTTTCTTTAGGGAATGAGAAATTTATATTTGGAGAAACAGCTATGCTTGTGTATCAGAGCTTGCAAACTGGATTGATAAATGGGTTATTAGAATTTTGCTTTTCAGTTTCAACAGTCTGTCAGTTCTTATTGCTTAATTAGTATACTTAATTAAGCTCATAATATCTTCTAGTCTGCCAGTCTTAATTTGCTAATTTTCCATTCTTTCTCAAACCCAGAGCACAACATATGTTTCGCCAAGCCATGCGTACACCCGTCATTTGGTTCCATGTGGTTCCCGCGGCAAAGAAAGAGCAGTATGAACAACTCTCTCAGAGTGAGAAGAACAATTACTATTCAGGTTGCTTCAGCCCTGACAGCCAGTATATTGACAACAGGAGCGTGAACAGCGCAGGGCTTCACGGGGTGCAGAGAGCACCCAGACTGAACCACCCGCCCGAGCAGCTAGACTCTCACCCACGACTACCTCACAGCGCGCACCCCTCCGGAAAGCCGCCGTCAGCGCCAGCCCTAGCACCCCACAATGTATTTAGCACGAATGTAAGCAGCGGTTATAACACCAAAAAAGTAGGCAAGAGGCTTAATATCCAGCTTAAGAAAGGTACGACCTATCTTGTTTTTTGTTTTACGGAATTTATTTAAAAATTCAACCAGCTAACCAAAAGCATCCTGAATTTTATTCCATTACTGTATGAAAGAACTGATACAGAGATTTTGTTTAAAAATGACTTGCTTTTTAATGTATTTAAAATTGTGTTTTTTATGCTTTTCAGATTCATTTTACTCTATTGAAATTAAAACATGAACGGTCAGAGAGTAAGACCTTAAGATATAAGTCTATGCGAAGAAGGTAGCAGTTACTACTACAGTAAAATTTTTGATTATGAGTGAAAATGGTTTCAGGACATTGCTATGAAACCCAAAACGATAGTGAGGGTTTAACCATTTTGAATCACCCGCTTGCTGTCCTAATATAGCCTTGGTGGATTGTCAACTTCAACCCCAGTGTTCTGGGGATACTGAGTGGCCAATTCACTTGAGGCCGTCAGTGGTTCGTGGCGGGTTGCAGAGAAGCCAGGCCGTTGGCTCTTGTCTCTTGCTTTTTCATAATGCTACACCGCTGCCCTTTCTTAAGGTGATATGGGAAGTCATGATGGGCATTGCTAATTCTTCATACACTTTGTATCAATTTATTTAGGTAGCCCCTTCCTGGTGATGGTAGATCCGTGTGTATAGGGAGCATGCATTTCTGGTTTTCCCTCAGCTCAGCAGAGATCTGGACTGGACTTTCTCGTTTTCCCCCGGTGTTCCCTCCAGTCACTGAGATACACTTTTGCTGTTGGTCATCAGTTTTAGCTGAGCATTTCAAGATATTTTTAAATCATGTCTTTTAAAATGGTGTCACTATGTAGAATATTCCTCTTTTTATGAGCCCGAACAACTCCTACAGTTGGATGAAAGCGAATCCAAGAGAGGTGCATTATTTCCTCACGTCCCGTGGCTGTTGGCAGCAGATTCTTACTAGACTGTTTTCCATGTCCTGATATTCCGACCATTCTTCTTCCCAGTTGGGGTAGTGTTTACAAGGTTGTAAACTCTGGGACTGCTATTTCCTTTCTAAATCATATTTTTGCGTTGAACTTTATGTGAACCACAAGTTCCTTATTTCTGGTCGCTGCCTTTTAAGCTCCAGATACTTGGTTGACATGATCAGGAGTTGACAGCTTACCTCCTGGCACACACAAGGGTACATCAGCAGAAACCCCTTCAGTTCTGTCAATTCCTAAATGAGGGAAATATCTGATCCTCTTTCCTCCTTTTTCTGTACTCAAGTGACAGGCCCTTGTTTTTTTAACCAAAATCATATCAAGAACCACAGATAGAGTT